AAACTCGAATCTACATTTTAAGAACTTCCAGGTTGTTCGGGGTGGATGACGCAAAACGTCATGCAATGTCGGTGCCGTTTGCACGCATTCTGGTGCTATGTTGGAAGGCTCTGGATCTGATCCTCGAGCATCCTCAAAGCCAAACCCTCATAGAAGTCAACGGGGACAACAAGCCATAGCACTATCCACTAGCACTAGAAATCACTATCCACTAGAAATGTCATAGTGGCAGGCAATGTCCGTTTTCATATTGCAGAACCAGCCCCTCAAGACGCATCTCTGTTCATTGAACACTGACATCTAAAGAATAAGTTAGAATAACCACTAATCTACACTCCCCACAACCATACCTATAGGATTTCTTGGGCCCGACTGGTCTTGTGAGACCTCTGGGGAATCCTGATGTCATATTGCGTTGCGGTCCGGGAGTATCAAGCTGATCATCCTTGACCGGTGACTGGCTGACCATCATCCTGAAAGGGAGATGAGATGTAAATGCAATCCAGCAAACAAACAACCCTCCATGTTCCAGCTTGTTAAAAACAACAAAAAACGATTTCAGACCATTTTGGAGTACCCTCTAGTAATCTAGCATAGCTATGGAAAATCAGCATGTTCAATGGGTCAACAGGTCAACTATCTATAAATAGGACATCTTACATGGCCACCCATTTGAACATCAATCTTCTCCGATGGGGATCCACTCCAGCTCATCAACTCCCTAAGCCCAGGCAGCCTGCGACTTTTGCCACGCTACAGAGTACACATACGTTAATCGTGAGCAAAGGTTGATGCACATGCCATGTCAAACGGGCATCTTGGGCATACCAACAGTTGCTAACCAACCAACTTCAGCAAATGTGTTGACAAACCTTTGGCTCCTCTTTTCAGCCCTCCTGATCATTTAGGAGACGTATGAAAGTCATTGTGCAAGACGCTGGAACAAGATGATTCCATACAATTCCCTAATAAATCCCCAAACCCTGAGTCAAGTTATCAGATATCAACAACCGGACCGGAAGTGGACCATTGACAGCATCCTAACTTGACAACCGAATTGTTTTCTATTAGGACATATTGAAACCACATAAGGAGAACGTAAACCAATCTGTGCGCAGAACTGGGATCTTTAGTGAGATTTTGCCCCCGCCTTCTTGCCTCTTTCAATACCTCATTATATGGGTGTTTCTAAAAAATAGAGACCAATGGGTTTCTCCAGTATTCCATTGAAAGCGGCAAGTTTGGGATGATTTGCCGCACCATTTTATGCCAGTGAACGTTTCCCACCCCAACCTTGAGTCTTCAGCGCAGCTACGCTGCCAACCTTGAGTGTTTTCCTGATCTTTCGACAAATTTGTCGAAGCCACACTCTGGGCAAAATCCTCCAACAGTTCTGATAGCCTGGAGATGCCAATGTCGTGTCTTCAAACATCCTTTTGGAAGTCGTGCGGACAGACTCCTGAACATGCTGCAGATGTTGAATCGAACCACAAAAAACCAGAGATACCAAACAATGTCAAACAATGGTTTCTCCATCGGCATCTTTCGGGCGAAGCAAATCCGCAAATATGGGTTTCATTGTATTGTTTTGGGAAACTATCACCAAGATTGAGGCCCGCTCCTGAACACGGAAACCATCTGAAGCCCTACATTTTCTCCCGATCTTTGCCCCAGGCTGATCAGAAGACATCCACTTTTGCCCCTACGCTATCTCAGCTGTATCAGCATCCGTTGGCTATTTTCAATAGCCGCAGTGCTGGTGGAAAAGCAGCCGACGCGCCTTTGAGTGGCGTCGCGTTTTGGGGCCGCGACTTTTTCAGACCTTACGGAAGCCTGGAGGCTCCAAAAAGGATCAAACAGGTGACTCCGCAAAATTGAAAGCAAAACTAATGAAATGATGGTTCGTGTCCGACAACTACTGATGGTCCATTCTGATTGGTATATCCATTCCATCATGAACCATGAGGCAAATATGCGCCATTTTTTTTGCCTCCGGTGATCCAGTTCTCTACCCTGAAATCGTGGTCCTTGAGGCTTCCAACATGTTCCAACACTTCTTCCGCCAGTGAAGCCCTGCTGGTGACTGATCCGATCGTTCGAAATTCTCACTGCCGGTACTTGGTGGCTCTTCGGTTGCTGGGAGCCTCGGCAATGGCAGCAATGGGGCTGATCATGGCTGATCTATATCCACACTGAGCTCCTTATGCTTCACCTCAAGCACTTGATACTGGTGGCCGGCTTGGAGGGTCTAAGCGGTCTAAGTAGACATGAGAATTCTTGTGCCGCTGTGCTTCTTTCTTGGCCACATGGAGGGTGAACTAAATGACCCAGTCGCTCAGAGATCACTAGCTGGATTTTTCTCTCTAAATTGCCTTTTCGAGCAATCTATCTATGTATTCATCTATATATATATATCTATCTATCTATTCATCCATAAATCATCTATCAACTTATGCATTTATCTATCCATCTATCTATCTATCTATCTATCTGTCTGTCTATCTATATCTATCTATCTATTTATCCTCTATCTGTCTATCTATCTAACTATCTATCTAATTATCTGATCTAATTATCTATTTTTCTTTCTTTCGTTCTTTCTATCTATCTATATATCTGCCTGTCTAATTATATCTATCTATATCTATCTATCAATCTTCTATCTATCTATCCATCTATTCATCTATCCATCGATCCATCCACCCATCCACCCATCCATTCATCCAAGCATCCATCCATCCATCCATCCATCCACCCACCCATCCATCCATCCATCTAATCTATCTAATCTATCTAATATATCTAAATTATCTGATTTATCTATCTAATCTATCTAATCTATCTAATCTATCTAACCTATCTAATCTATCTAATCTATCTAATCTAATCTGTCTAATCTAATCTATCTAATCTATCCAATATATCTAATCTATCTATCCATCCATCTATCTATCCATCTATCTATTATATATCTATCTATCAATCGCTGCCGCTCTATCTATCTATGGATCGATCTACTGTATCTATCCTATCTATCCCATCTATCCTATCTATCCTATCTATCCTATCTATCCTATCTATCTTTCCTTTCTATTCTGTTCTGTTCTGTTATATTCTATCCTATCCTATCCTATCCTACCCATCTACCCATCTATCCATCTATCCATCTATCCATCTATCCATCTATCCATCTATCCATCTATCCATCTATCCATCTATCCATCTATCCATCTATCCATCTATCCATCTATCCATCTATCCATCTATCCATCTATCCATCTATCCATCTATCTATCTAATCTAATCTAATCTAATCCAATCTAATCTAATCTAATCTAATCTATCTATCTATCTATCTAATCTATCTATCATCTGTCTTTCTAGCTGTCTGCCCATCTATCGATCTATCTGCTGTCTATCTATCAGTCAGTTTGGTTCAATTTGTACTGAAAACACTCACACACCTCAAATAATCTCGCTGCCTTTCCCGTCCTTGCCAATAATGACTCGTATAATTACGTCGTTACTGCTTGCCATTCAATGGATCAACGTGGTGTGATGTAAGTGTGGGTCAAAACTGGTCAAAGCTAGTCAAAACCCTCGCACCCCGGTGAACATCAAAATAGTTGAAGCTAACAGTAACATAATGAATCGAACGATTGTGCCCCTACAATGCTCCCAAAGGCTTATTTCTTGATCCTGTGGAAACTCATCTAAATCATCTAACCCCAAAAACGCCAAACATCATGCAGCATAGCTTTGACCCATCCCATCCCTATGTATCTAATGAACATAATGACCCTTGACGGAGAGATTTCAGCGCCGCACACTGGCACTTGGCACAATTGGTCTCATGTCCTCCGGGGCAGGTATAACTGCAAGGTTGTACACCAGTTCGTTCGCTAAGGTGGTTTCTTGATGGTAGATGGGCCCAATAGTCAACACGAGAACTTTCAGAACGGTTCAAACTTCCTTTTGCCTCCCTAAAAAACGCACCTTTACGTCACGTCCTAAAAAATCTATAACAATGGGGTTTATACACTTTATAAACCAACAACATCCAACAACCAGAACTGGAGGGCACAGCTCCAGCTTGCCCCGCTCCTCAGACATGTCAAAACGCACCTTGGAACCCTTGGTCCTTGGTTTTGGAAAAAATGATCCAGCCGTTGCGGGGCGCTGCCGCAGGCGCTGCCAGCTCAGGATGTGGACGTTAACTATTATATGACTTAGAGATATTCAGAGAAAGAACTGATTGCGTTGATATGCTTGGATGATACAGTTGTCATCAGTTGTCACTAATGTGGTCATTAACTGAGTTGCGACGGATTTCTTTTTCGATTAACATGTTTCAAGGATTTATGGGTGAAAAACATATGACACGGTTGCTGGCCAACGAACGAATCCCATGACCCATCCACGTGCACATCTAGGTGCTGATTGATCTGATTGGCTCGACTAGTGGGTTGATAGAGGTTGTTATTATGACATGCGCATCACGTTTCCTCCCAAAGCAGTTCGGCTGTCGATTTGAGTCACTCGGTCTCCAGTCTTAATTTCTGAATCATATTGAGTCATCACTGATTTTTATTCTCAAAATCGCAATAAAAATATCTAGAAATGTGTAGAAGTATGGGGTTACCACAAGAACCTGACGCCACAGCTGCGAGGTCCCGGCTTCTTGCTGCTGGTCTTCGCCTCGCTCTTTTTCAACGCTCGTAGTGATGGGCTAATCCATAATCGTAAATAATATTTATATATATTCATGCTATACAAGTATTGGAAATAATTTGCTATACGTAAATCTATACCTTTCTCTCTAACATCATGTTTTAACGGCAAACAAACAAATAGATTTGTTTTGAGGACCTCAAACCCTCCGACGCATCAAAACAGTGGCTGAACCCCTGCTGCAAATAAAAAACATAGCACTTTGCTTTCCATGTTTCAGTGGCCCTACTGGGGTCCGGGTAACCACAGCCCACCCCGCTTCAGCCAGATCACTTCAGACCATGCTTCTTGGGCTCTGCGTACAGTGGCAGCTCCTGCGGCCCGGAGAAAAACATCATATGGGGGGGTTCCATACATGGAGTACCCAATAGCTGGATGGTTTATAAGGGAAAATCCTACTAAGATGGATGATTTGGGGGTACCCCTATTTCAGGAAACCTTCATATAGAACATCATAGAGCAAGGGCAAGCCATTCTTGTTGACCTTGGGCCCCAAAGCTTGCGGTATCCCACCCAACTCCTGCGGGCTGATATCGGCTGTTTGCCCTCGGCAAGACCGCAAGGCAAGGTGAAATCCTGCCTAGAAGTGAGAATCCGTGATTTTTGTGCCTGAAAACAAAAAAGCTGGGACTTTCCACATCTTTCCACTCCTAGTTTGTCTCTTTGACGGACATGTTCGGAAAGTAAACAGCGGAAATCCAACACTTTCCAAACGGCCAAACATTTTTATGGGCAGTGCCTAACCAACCCAACCTATCACCCCCAAACTATTGAATTTGAATTCCAACATGGTTCACCAGCCATCTGGCCATATCTGGCCCATGGTTCACCATCACCTCCCTTGGACATGGGTAGTATAACCTCCCAGTCCCAACTAATCATTATCATCAAGCAGCTTTGATGGTATAACTGGTATAACTGGTATAACCACCGAATAAAAATTCATCAAGCAACAAATGGAAGTTTCCAAAAATGGGGGTACTCCAAACCATCCAAGTCACTAGACCATGACTTAGTTTTGAAACAGCCGTGGTGACTGGGGGTTCCAAGCCATGTTAAGAAACCCACCCCAGGCCACCCCAAAAAACCTTGGTTAACGGTTAAATCACCATTTGGTTTGGTTTTTTATCCCATCAACATCAATTTCCGATGATTAAAATCCCATTCAGATCTCATTTTTGACCCCCATATCAGCTAATATTCACCACTAATCATGGAACAAAAAAACCTAGATTCACCATAGATTCTCCACTAACCATAGGAATGTCCCATGGTTTTTTCTCCGAGGTGCTCAGCCCATGGGGGCACCATGTTCATCATGGCTGCCACTTGTTCAGCTTCGCGCTCTTCCACTTGGCGTCGCACCTGGCGTAAGCATCGTAAGCCATGGCAGCCATGGCCGTTCAACGGGGGACTAAAACACGGCCGATTTTTTGATAGCAAAAATGGGAATGGTCAAGTTTTTGTTGCACCTATAAAAATGGTGACTGGGGGATGGTTTATGATGGGTTTACCATGAAAACTATGTTTTTTATCAATGGAAACTGTTGAGTGAATGGTGATGGGTACTAGATGTATAAGTTAGAACTGTGTTCATGAGGTCTCTGAACCAACTTCAAGTAGTGGGCACCATGTTGCCCCCCCGCCCCTTTTCTCGAGATACATCCTCATGATGGAAAATCTTGGAACATCCATATGTTGTTTTTTCTTTGTATTTGATAGTCATACCCAAAAAAATCAAACATCCAAAATAATCCAAAAATATACCCTCTGGTTATTTAACAGAGCCATGGAAAATCACAAGTTTTAATAGCTAAACCTCTATAAATGGGCTATTTCCCATGGCTATGTTTAAAAAAAATACTTGGAACATTCAAAATATCTGATGGTAACACCCACCATGATCCTAAATCCCCAGCAGCTGCCTCGTCTGCTGACACATTGCCCTGGCACAAAAAATGCCATGATTTGGAGAAAAATCGTGGGAACGTTTCTGTTGTGCATGGTGGTACTTCATCGAACTAATCTCATCCCACAATGGAAACCCTTATAATTTGGATATATATATATATATACATACATACATCTGGTTGGTGGTTTCAACCTACCCCTCTGAAAAATGATGGAGTGAAAGTCAGTTGGGATGATGACATTCCCATTATATGGAAAGTCATAAAACATGTTCCAAACCACCAACAGGATACAAAGAACTAGATGATAACTAGATGAACTAACTGTTTTGATCTGTCCCGTCCCCTCTTTTTTCAGAGTTGTTTTTTTTGCTTCAGTGCGCAGGCAGTTGCAGCCAATCCATGGGAATCAACTGTCAGCCTGCCTTGGGTGCAGGAACCACCTGAAGGCGAGATGCAAAGACTAGAGCCGCTGCACTTCTTGGTGGAACAACATTCCAGGAGGACCTGAGTCTTATAATCTATAATGTATATATAAATTATATGATATTATATATCCAGGATTATATATATATATATATATTGATTAGTTTTATGATCCAGGATAGATATTATAATCTATCAGTTGTATAGATATATATAGATTAAAAACGCGGAATCACTGATAAATAATTTATAAACTGATATAAACTGATGAACTCAGGATACTCTCGAATATCGAGTAAATTGATGGTTGGCCAGTCAATTGATTTATTCGCATAGATCCCTTAGGGGGGGCGCTTCGTTTTGATCATAAATATCATGGTGATGAGTAAACCCCAAGAAATCCTGCAATACCACGGGGAACAACTTCGGCAACCCCAGGGAATTACTAGTGTTTGCTACTGTTTTACTGCGTTTGTTGATTTTCCAAAGGGTAACTAAGGACCCAACGCCGAAAGCACCTGCGTCCTGAAAGCAAGTCATGAGCGTGGCAAGAACCAGGAAAATCAGGCAGTAATTGTGGGATTCAATGGAATTACATTCAGAGGTAATATAGGGGTGTGTCATGGTGATTCAAGCAACCCCAAGAATCGCTCAAAAAAAAACTGCCGATTGGCGGAACATCATAGAAAACCAGCAGCACAGGTTCGTTCTGTTCACTGAAACCGGGGATTCACTATTCACTAGTTATGGTCATTTATGGTCATTTGCCACTGCTTTCAGTAAATCATCCATAAAGGTGTTTGTGCTGCTTTCAGCCGATTTAGCTGGACATATCCTGGTGGATTCCTGGCAAATCTCTGGATACGAGCTGAGCTCCGAAGAATCGCACTCCAGGTCAACTTTGGAGGCAAGTTCGCACGGATAAGTCAGAAAAGGCACTAAAGAAGAATCCCCAGCAGTCAGATTCAAGGCCATGACATCAGCAATTTATGAAATATTTATGGATATTATGGATGGTTTCTGCCAGATTTTTATAGATTTTTGCAATCATTTATGGTGAGGTCATATCCCACACCATCCATCCTTGCCTCCTCGGTTCCGACCTTCCTGTGGACGGCACATCATGGGGAGAAGGGCGGGGCCTTATTCCACGGAACATATATTGATATGTAGTTTAATGTAACTTATATGTAATATATATATATACATCAAAATTTGAAGGGCGATGCAAGCATCTGGGCTAATATCATATAATATGGGCTAATGGTTGCTAATGTCTCAAATTTTGACCTCATGTTGCATGTGAGCTGAAGCCTCTCAGTCTACCATAGCCACCCGGCCCCGGCCCGGCCCAGCTCTCCAGCCCGCCTCAAAAATTTCCAGCGCTTGGAGGATTTCTGTTCCGCATCTGCGCAAGGCCACGGGGAACAACTAACCACAACTGAATGGTGGATTGGGGAGTGAACTCATTGAAAAATATTGAAGTATTTTGAACTAATTGACCTCATCCTCCTTCTCCTCCGCCTCATGATCATGATGATGATGATGATAATAATGATGATACTCAGAGAATGAGACTCATGTTTGGGCCTACCAGTTTCAAACCACCAACCCAGAACCTCTTTGAACCACCTCCTGCACCCTCTTTAGGTGCGGTCGAACCTCTCTCTGGTGAGACACGAGCACCACGCCTGCCGGATGGAAACTGGTCCATTGCGTCAGGTGCGCTGTGCTGGGTCTGTCATGAGGATTTTGCTCAGCCATGGTTATCTGGTTATCTTCTGCGTGAGAAATCTAAATCTTCAACAACAAAGGGATGTTGAACACGAAGGGATTGTCATAATTGTAATAATTGTAATAATTGTAATATCTTCAACAACAAAGGGATGTTGAACACGACAATATATTACAATTTTGCATAATTTTTGCATCGCCATCCCAAAAATGGTGACGTTGTTGAAAGATCAGACAACTTCTGACCATCCCTGGGGATCCCATCCGCTGAAGCATCCGTGGCAAGGCCCAGAAGCCACCAGTCTCGGGCGATGGTTTTAATATGGATATTATGGAGGATTTATGGAGGATTTATGGAGGATTTATGGAGGATTTATGGAGGATTTATGGAGGATATATGGAGGATTTATGGAGGATTTATGGAGGATATTATGGAGGATATTATGGAGGATATTATGGAGGATATTATGGAGGATTTATGGAGGATTTTATGGAGGATTTATGGAGGATTTATGGAGGATATTATGGAGGATATTATGGAGGATATTATGGAGGATTTATGGAGGATATTATGGAGGATTTATGGAGGATTTATGGAGGATTTATGGAGGATTTATGGATGATTTATGGAGGATTTATGGAGGATTTATGGAGGATTTATGGAGGATTTATGGAGGATTTATGGAGGATTTATGGAGGATTTATGGAGGATTTATGGAGGATATATGGAGGATATTATGGAGGATATTATGGAGGATATTATGGAGGATATTATGGAGGATATTATGGAGGATTTATGGAGGATATTATGGAGGATATTATGGAGGATTTATGGAGGATTTATGGAGGATTTATGGAGGATTTATGGAGGATTTATGGAGGACTTATGGAGGATTTATGGAGGATATTATGGAAGATATTATGGAGGATATTATGGAGGATTTATGGAGGATTTATGGAGGATTTATGGAGGATATTATGGAGGATATTATGGAGGATATTATGGAGGATATATGGAGGATATTATGGAGGATTTATGGAGGATTTATGGAGGATTTATGGAGGATTTATGGAGGATTTATGGAGGATTTATGGAGGATTTATGGAGGATTTATGGAGGATTTATGGAGGACTTATGGAGGATTTATGGAGGATATTATGGAGGATATTATGGAGGATATTATGGAGGATATTATGGAGGATTTATGGAGGATTTATGGAGGATATATGGAGGATATATGGAGGATATTATGGAGGATATTATGGAGGATATTATGGAGGATTTATGGAGGATATTATGGAGGATATTATGGAGGATTTATGGAGGATTTATGGAGGATTTATGGAGGATTTATGGAGGATATTATGGAGGATTTATGGAGGATTTATGGAGGATTTATGGAGGATTTATGGAGGATTTATGGAGGATTTATCTGGTTTAATATTGATAATATTACCCAACAATGGTTCATGGTGCTATGTGGCTATGTCATTATCACATCCATCCCACAATTGGAACCCTTATAATATGGATATATCGGATATATTATATATATATACAGTACATATATCTGGTTGGTGGTTTCAACCTACCCCTCTGAAAAATGATGGAGTTCGTCAGTTGGGATGATGAAATTCCCAATATAAGGAAACATAAAACATGTTCCAAACCACCAACCAGATTGTGTTTCGGACAATCTCAGAACCATCAGAAGGTTCAATACTGGTGGATACTGGTGGATACTGGTGCTACATCCGCCCCCATACTAAGCCCGTCGCCACTGGGCTGGGCAGTGCTGAAGCAGCCCGAGTGACCTGGTTTTTTCCCACATATAGTGCCCTGGTTGGCTGGGAGATTCCAAATTCATGGGTAGATATTGATAGATACCCTCCGGAACATTCACATAAATATCACAAATTTGGACATTCCCGACATGCCGGACCCAAATTCATTGCTTCCCCCCAAACAAGTTCAACATTCCCGAGGCCCCAACTGAACAGGTTGGAAAATTCCACTCTGTTCATTGACTGATAAGGATACACATGGGGGATGCCCCGTTGCATCGCCATCTATAAACAGTTGTAATTGAGTGTTCATTTGTTAGATTACACACATGGTGACCTGCAACTGGATCGACGACCATCCAAAAGTTCCAAGTCACACGTCTTAGAATTCTTAGTCAACTACAGCGATCGGAATCACAAAGATTGAACTACCCTCCTATAATCAAACATGGCAATGGTAATCAATGGTAACCCTGCAGTGATAGTTGTTTTTTCCATTAAATCCTCCTTTGATGGGGGATGTCCAAATGCCAACCCATTCGTGTCGATTATCACTAGTAGTATTTGGCTATTGGCTGACTTGCCGCGCCAGAAGGGTTGTCATGTTTTGTTACTGTGTACTTGGAAGTTCTGCAAGTATTAGCTTCGGTCATGTTAGGGCGAGGTGGCATGGGATGGGGTGAGGTGGGGTGAGGTGGGGTGAGGTGGGGTGAGGTGGGGTGAGGTGGGGCGAATTATTCGCTACTTATGTTACATGCTACGGCAACAGACCTGTTGCTACACTTGCACATACCTTAGATGCTACACTAACATATTATGTTCCATGCTACGGTAACAAATCTGTTGCTACACTTGCACATACCTTAGATGCTACCCTTGCACATACCTTAGATGTTACGCTAACATATGTTACATGCTACGGCAACAGACCTGTTGCTACACTTGCACATACCTTAGATGTTACGCTAACATACGCTAACATATGTTCCATGCTACGGTAACAAATATGATGCTACACGTGCACATATACCTTAGATGCTACCCTTGCACATACCTTAGATGCTACGCTTTAACAGTTCCATGCTACGGCAACAGACCTGTTGCTACCCTTGGCATACCGTAGATGCTACCCTTGCACATACCTTAGATACTACGCTAACATTTGTTCCATGCCATGGTAACAGATCTGTTGCTACCATTGCACATACCTTAGATGCTACCCTTGCACAAAGCTTAGATGCTACGCTAACATATGTTCATCTGTTGCTACATTTGCACATGCCTTAGATGCTACGCTTTAACAGTTCCATGCTACGGCAACAGACCTGTTGCTACCCTTGGCATACCGTAGATGCTACCCTTGCACATACCTTAGATGCTACGCTAACATTTGTTCCATGCCATGGTAACAGATCTGTTGCTACCATTGCACATACCTTAGATGCTACGCTTTAACAGTTCCATGCTACGGCAACAGACCTGTTGCTACCCTTGGCATACCGTAGATGCTACCCTTGCACATACCTTAGATGCTACGCTAACATGTGTTCCATGCCATGGTAACAGATCTGTTGCTACCATTGCACATACCTTAGATGCTACGCCAGTTGCACAACAGACCTGTTGCTACCCTTGGCATACCGTAGATGCTACCCTTGCACATACCTTAGATGCTACGCTAACATGTGTTCCATGCCATGGTAACAGATCTGTTGCTACCATTGCACATACCTTAGATGCTACCCTTGCACAAAGCTTAGATGCTACGCTAACATATGTTCATCTGTTGCTACATTTGCACATGCCTTAGATGCTACGCTTTAACAGTTCCATGCTACGGCAACAGGCCTGTTGCTACCCTTGGCATACCGTAGATGCTACCCTTGCACATACCTTAGATGCTACGCTAACATTTGTTCCATGCCATGGTAACAGATCTGTTGCTACCATTGCACATACCTTAGATGCTACCCTTGCACAAAGCTTAGATGCTACGCTAACATATGTTCATCTGTTGCTACATTTGCACATGCCTTAGATGCTACGCTTTAACAGTTCCATGCTACGGCAACAGACCTGTTGCTACCCTTGGCATACCGTAGATGCTACCCTTGCACATACCTTAGATGCTACGCTAACATTTGTTCCATGCCATGGTAACAGATCTGTTGCTACCATTGCGCATACCTTAGATGCTACCCTTGCACAAAGCTTAGATGCTACGCTAACATATGTTCATCTGTTGCTACATTTGCACATGCCTTAGATGCTACGCTTTAACAGTTCCATGCTACGGCAACAGACCTGTTGCTACCCTTGGCATACCGTAGATGCTACCCTTGCACATACCTTAGATGCTACGCTAACATTTGTTCCATGCCATGGTAACAGATCTGTTGCTACCATTGCACATACCTTAGATGCTACCCTTGCACAAAGCTTAGATGCTACGCTAACATATGTTCATCTGTTGCTACATTTGCACATGCCTTAGATGCTACGCTTTAACAGTTCCATGCTACGGCAACAGACCTGTTGCTACCCTTGGCATACCGTAGATGCTACCCTTGCACATACCTTAGATGCTACGCTAACATTTGTTCCATGCCATGGTAACAGATCTGTTGCTACCATTGCGCATACCTTAGATGCTACCCTTGCACAAAGCTTAGATGCTACGCTAACATATGTTCATCTGTTGCTACATTTGCACATGCCTTAGATGCTACGCTTTAACAGTTCCATGCTACGGCAACAGACCTGTTGCTACCCTTGGCATACCGTAGATGCTACCCTTGCACATACCTTAGATGCTACGCTAACATTTGTTCCATGCCATGGTAACAGATCTGTTGCTACCATTGCACATACCTTAGATGCTACCCTTGCACAAAGCTTAGATGCTACGCTAACATATGTTCATCTGTTGCTACATTTGCACATGCCTTAGATGCTACGCTTTAACAGTTCCATGCTACGGCAACAGACCTGTTGCTACCCTTGGCATACCGTAGATGCTACCCTTGCACATACCTTAGATGCTACGCTAACATTTGTTCCATGCCATGGTAACAGATCTGTTGCTACCATTGCACATACCTTAGATGCTACCCTTGCACCAAGCTTAGATGCTACGCTAACATATGTTCATCTGTTGCTACATTTGCACATGCCTTAGATGCTACCCTGCTACCGTTGGAAGCTTCCAGTGGAGGACAATGCTTCCATCGTGAGTTCAATCTCACAAGAACTTCCCGAATGCTTGTGGCAGAGTCTCAGAGCTGAGAAAAGCTGGCATGTGATTTATGACATCAACACGCATTCCCAAACTTGTTTTTCGGATGTGACCAAAAAAAACGATAGTTTCGCCTCAGCAAAATACCATTTCGTTCATTTTGAATTGGCCCAGGCGGGTACAAAATGATGGTCTATAAATGGGTTGCCAAGATGAAACACACAAGAAACAAATGCTTAACATTTGATCTTGAGCTTGAGGGTGGAGAAAAAAACATGTCGACAGTTCATGACAGTTCCAGGGCGGCGAGACAGGGCCGTCTCAAATCACCAGGGTCAATATGTGCACCCTGCAGTCAAATGTCCCAATCATCTGTTCACTCTGTCGCAATGGTTAAAACTACCAAATGTATGTAATAATAGGTCAATGATTGTATGCGTATGCCTATACATATCTCTCTCTCTCTCTATGGATTTGTCGTGTAAAACTATATTCTGTACAATATATTTATATATTCATTTATACCCACGTACATGTCCATCATGGCTCACAAACATTCCAAAACCTCGGTGCGTTTTACTGTTCCATTTGTGCATTCATGCGATGCATTGGGTGGGCTCATGGGGGGTTGTGTTGATGAGGGGTGGGGGGGTGGAAGGGGGCGGCAAGAATTTGACAACAGGAACCGCCCAGGAAAAATCCTCGGACCTAGGACCTAGCTATTGTAACTGTACCCCGACGTTTCAGTAACGGAAGCTCTGCAAAAAGCAGCCGTCTGCAATTCAGTTCCACCAGTCTCCAAGTTTTTCAAGGGGGGCATGACATATATGTGTTCAGACAACAAGATACATCATTTCAGTGTCAACACAATATACCACAACATGCTCAAATATCCATGCGTGGCTTTCAACCCGGCGGGATAAGTATTACCAGAGCATGGCATGTAGACATAAATGAACAGGCGCAAACACACACATATATATGTATATATGTGTATATTATATGTATATTAAATATATCATATAATATCAGTTACAATACTTATATTATAAATGTAACAGTACAAGTAATATTACATAATTAAAAACATAACATAACATATATATATATATATTTAATATAACAGTAATTATACAGTATCTTGATATTCATACATCGAAAAAAAAGGAAAAACCTCAACACGTCAATTAAATTCAATTAACACATCCACAGCCACCCTTCACCAGTCGCAGTCGCATCACGTTCCCATCGCCTTGACAGCTGCCACCGGTGGGCGTTCGCCGCGTTCGCCGCGGTCGCCCGGCCAGCGGCGAGCCGAGCGAGGCGAGTTGCCGCCGCCCACACCCAGAGGGGCGGTGGCTTTCACCTGCCAGGAGGTGGAAGAGGTGAACTCCCATGACGGATCCATGGTGCTGCTATATATGGTGTGCCATGGATCCCATCAATATACCCCAGTCATGTTAGCATTAATATACCAGCACCATGGATCCTATATGGGACTAGTCATTAGAAAGAAAGTCTTTGAAACATGTCATAATAACATATTTCATAGCATAATTTCATACTATGTAATGTTCATCATCATACTCATGCTCATGCTCGTACTCATTATTATCATCGTCGTCGTGATGATGTTTATCTTGCTGACACTTTGAATCATTTTGATGTACGATAGAAAATCACCAATTTTAATGGGAAAACTCACTATTTCTATGGCCATTTTCAATAGCTATGTAACAAATTACCAGAGGGTACTATTCTGTACCCATGAAAAATGGGGGTCCTATGATTCAGTGCAATCTACCAGCTCTTCATGCTTGCTTGATCTACCAGGGGCGCTGGGCGGTAGATCTCAGCGATTTTAGGCGTCAAAAAAGCCAAGGCGCTTTGATCAAGCTAAATGATCAAAAAAAAATGCTTGGAGGCTAGTTCCTCTCCTATGAAATATGACACATCGCCATTTAAAATAGGCCAAACGTTTGCAAATAGTTTGAGTTGAAGGAAAATCACCTTGGCAAATGTGTTTGGTCCTGCCAAAAAAGGCCTCCAAAATCTCTGGATGTTTGCGGGTCCACTTCGCCTCACGCCGTGTTATAGCTATGGCTTTCTCGGGCAAAATGGGTAATTATCACCCCAAACATGATATGAAATCATGGGTGACCTATGATACAATGATGGTAAAGGGATGGTCCTAAGGTTTAGACCTTGATGGTGTTTAGGGGGGGTCCTAAGGCTTAGATCAAAACATGTCCGGTTTTGAGATCTCCAAAAAATGAGGAGCCACATGGCATTTCACAAAGAAAATGGACATGACATACCAGCTACATATAGCTAAATCGATCCTCTATGATTTCATGGTTTTTCATCGATGGAGTACTGTGCTATCTTCCGTGAATGCTCACAATGACCATGTTTGGCCGAGAACATCATGTAGTGGGGAAACAATCATCAATCTGTTGATTCCATTTGATTCCTGAGGTTTCGTCCTGTTGTTTCCATTCTGTTGCCCGTATTTAAAAAAAAAAAACATATGGCTATAGATCAACTCATATGGTATCTTTCTAAAAATACACCAACCACGAACTAGCCATGGAGGTTTAGTTCGCTTGAAGCTCATCAGTTGATTGCTGGAGGGTCAACCGAAAAAATGGGTCCTATGGAAAATGGATGAACATGGCCCATTTATAGATGATTTATAAACTATTTTATGAATTTCCTATGAAAAAAACAGTGATTTTCCATAGCGACGGCAAAGAACCAGAGGGTATATTTCGTATAATAACATGTCCATGATAATTTCATTATAATCCCATTATAATCCTAACCCCCTACAAATCCATGCCATAAATCCAACTAAATCCCAGTCGAAGTTGGAGTCTAACATGCACAATGGGAAATACGTACCATTATGTACCCGATGTACTGGTTTCATACATCCAATTGAAGATGGTAGATCGTATAAATCCCCTAAATCCTGCAAATACAATCCTATAAATCCACTATAAATCCATATAAATCGACTATAAATCCATTTTTATATAAATCCTATTAAGCAAATTCCATGATAATTGAAGAACCTACGAGGCTAGACCCACCGGCTCACCTGCGTGGCGCGACGCCGTGTCTCTAGGCGAGCTAAGGCAACGCACAGCACCAGGACTGCATCGTGGGAAAATACGGGGAGAACATGAACCAACATATCTGGTTGGTGGTTTCAACCCCTCTGGAGAAAAAAAATAGTCAGTTGGGATGAGTATTCCCATATATGGAAAATAATCCAAATGTTCCAAACCACCTACCAAATAACAAATGGAGGTTGTACTGGGAAAATCATCGAACTAAATGTCATGTACATCATGTACATATTTATATTTGTCATGTATATGTAGAATATTATGTTACCAGCAGAAATGTATTCGGCATCAACTATAGAATATATAGTTCATGATTTATCAATCATTAACCGTAGTTGCATCGGTGAAATAAACCAACTTAGCAAATTAAAACCACCTTGTCACAACTTAGCCAAAAAAAACACCACCGTGCCACCTTGTGTAGTCGTTGGTGGCACGGTAAGAATGAAATGAAATGACAATCTGCATCAACATAGAAAAGTAGCAGTTGAACAAGAGATAAATCCTGGTATTAAGAAATGATATATGAGGATTCAAATGGATTCGAACCAGCAAAAAGACATGTTGAACCATGTTGAATCAGTAATCAATCTGGGGATATTTGAGCCAATAAACTGGATGTCCAACAAACGCTAAGACCTCCGATTGCTTTGAGATGGGTAGACAGTGTAACCTGGTTGGTTTTAAATTAGGATCTTGGAGGGGTTACCTACTCTCCGACAGGCAACAGGAAAATGAAAGGAACATTAACATTGACAAAAGGATACCAGCGGGTTCTAAGTGGCAGCAGCAGCAACAGCAACAACCGCAACAGTAACAGTACCAGCTACAGTTCTAGTCTAGTCTGTTCAACAAAACAAGTGCTGATAGAAAGCAGGCTGGAATTCTGGCCGCGAGTTCATGTATACTATGTGTGCGGCAAGATAGGGAGTACGCGGAAGTCAGTGCTTGCCATGGTAAATCTGACGGGGCTGCTTGGTGGCTCTACTTTGTCATCTTCAAAAGTTGCATTCCAGACATTTCCAGAGATCTATCAAAAACACCAGGTGAATCGACAAATGCGGGGGCCTTTAAAGCCTTTGACTCCCCCAACCGGCCCATGGTTGACATGGCCCCACACCCATGCGCAGCATCTCTAACACTGAAACCTCAGCGATGATCTGGGACAATCAAAAAAAACCACCTCTTCGGATGTAAAAAAGCAGGGATCTTATATCGTAAGATCAGTGAACTCTCCGGTAAGCAAATGTGGCAATGGAAATCACCAATTTATAGTTGATTTTCTCATTAAAAGCTCCATTTATAGTGGATTTGCAGTTGCCATGTTTGATTACCGGAGGGTAAAACCAATAAGTTGCTCTATCTGAGCCATTTTGCAGTTGATGGGCTTATGCAGGAATGTTTTGCAACATGACAAAATACATCTCTCAACTCTGTCCAATCCTGTGGTCTTACAATTTCAGAAAACAAATTCTTCAAGTGATGATTGACCGTCTCTAAGCACCAAAAAGGATCACACATGGTTAAAATTCGAAGATATTCGAAGTTATCTAAAACAGGCCCACATCATCCCAATCATCAAACAGATGCAAATAGACATTGAACCACACAGTGACCTGAGCTCCCCACCACTGCGATGGACCCAATGATTGCCATCAAGTAATCCCCAATCGCGGCACTGGAGATCCAGCTCCTCTGACGCGCGGTTTTGGACGAAAAGATCGTGTTTCTAGGTTTAAACTTCAACTAACACATTTCCATACCAAAAAAAATGGTTCGGTTCACAAGTTGGTTCAGCAAGTTCACTCGAATTCCAATGCTCAATTCAAGTTAAGTTGAAATCCAAAATAGTTTTGGATCTTGGGGGTAGGCGTCCAAGTTATCCTGTGTATGTGTATATGTATATGTATATGTATATTAATATATATATATATATATTTAGGAATATCACATGAAGAGGTCAAAAAACTGGACGGACGTGATATTCACAGAATAATATGCCTTCAAAACTCTGGGCCCAGGAAGCACTGACCCTTCTACCCTCCCCGGGTCCAGTAGTTCATGGTGCAGCCAGCTCCTGCAGCGGTTGGGGCTGTTTGTTTGGATGGTACCAGGTACGATGTTTATGGCATTTCTTTGCGACCTGGGGATGAACCGAACATGAATGAACCAGGGTTTATGAATCCAGGGCGGACAAAGCACTTTTGTTGGGTCATCTGTGCGGGTTGGGGGCTGATTGAACATCACTCTTTCCCATTGCGAAAACCAACGTCCAACTACCAACAACCATCTTGATTTTTGATGATGTTGAAATCTACCGGCTGTCCCACGTTGGAGGGTAATACAATTATGACGCAAAATGATGCAGGTTTCTTTGAACAAAAAACAATAAAAAGAAACACCGAAAAAACAAAACAAAACAAAAAACAACAACATGCCCAACAAAAACAAAAAACACAAAACAAAATTAATAATAACACAAATTAAATAAATTGCACCAGAATGTTTTGTATAGTTTCTTGTTGTTCTTCTCTAGATTCCGGAATCCCAAATCTACATTTGCCTTGGAATAAAACAGGAAAACACAAAAAAAAATGCAACAACAACACGGATATGCAAATCACTTTGTCGCAATTTGTTGTTTTTTGTTGTTTTCTTGTTTTTGGTTTTGGTTTTTGTTTGTTTGTTTTCATTATATATTATATGCATTTTTCCAAGGAAAAATGCAGACGTGGGATTCCCGAATCTTCAGATGAGAACACAAAAAAATACAAAGCGCTCTGGCGCAAATTATTCATTTATGTTTGTTTTTGTTTTTTCATTTTGTGTTCTATGTTGTTGTTTATTTGTGCTTATTTTCGTTTCTTTATCGTGAACATAAATATCTTACCCTCTGATAATTTAACATAGCTATTGAGCATGACCATTTATAGTGGATTTTCCCATTAATCATGGTGATTTTCTATATAGCTATGTTAGTTTACCAGAGGGTAAATTTTCCAATGAATGCCATGTCTTTGGGTGTCTCAATCCTCGTCTTGTTGATTGCCAGCGGAACCAAGTCACGGTGAAGTCCCATTTTTTTTTGGCCAAAATGGGCCGAATGCACCAGCGTTCGATGGTGGTCCGTACTACGTAATCCCCCAAGAAAATCAGTCAGACACAACATGACACAACCAAACAAGATAGTTCTTAAATGTACCGACAATCAAAAAAATAGTTTTTTCAAATGTACCATCTCTAAACAAATGAATAAAGTTATCTACCATGCCATGGGCATTCTGAATACTTTGCAACGCAACTTCCCAACGCAACCGGCCCATCATGGCCGATCCTGCTGTGAAAACGCCCATTGCTCCCAGGTAGGCCAACCTGGGCACGGTCCGGATCTGCGGGAAAAAAATCGGGAAAAAGTGGACAAATCCTGTAAGTATTGAAGTTGAAGTGTTTAAACATGTTCAAAATAATACCTCCATTTTCTTCAACAGAATTCTTGAACTCCATTTTTAGGAAAACAAAACAACAATAATTACTATATATTACTATATAAAACTAAATGTAGAACTGCCCATTGAATCTGGGACTGCCCTGACAAAAAAAACAGGTTATCATGTTTGTGGCCGACCTGGTGCCCCTCAATATCCCTCAGTTGCATGTTGGTTTGTGAACCCCATAAATGGTAAAGGTAAGCTAGTTACAAACCAACTTAGCCATTCCGAATTGGGGCATCATTTTATATCATTTTGTATGTTTTGGTCTGGATGGGTGTAACGGTGTAACCTGTTTAGTTTTGGAATGCTTCGGGTATCTACGCTGGACATCTGGTGAGTAGGAAAGGTAGTTAAGGACCCAGTACGCAAATTCGGAATAGTGCAGCTGGTCACTTTTGCGAACGGGACGTCTAAATTGAGGTAAAGTGACGTTTGCTCTGGGGACCCTGTTTTGCGTGATGTCTTCACTCATCTTCACTCCTTCAAAATCTAACAACTCGTTCCATTTTTTTGTATGATTGTTCCCATTAGCCACACCCATTTCCCAGGATGACCATTCATCCATATATATACTCCAAAAAAGTACCGCTCAACAAATATCTGACTACAACCTTCTGAAAATAGGACGTGCATGTCTCTCTCTCCAGGACGTGTAAATATGTGTGTGTACACGCAAGTAATAATGGCACACATCTGGGTAAATTATAATATTTCACTAACCTGAATTAAGGCCATTTGGGGGTGATTTCCCTTACTAACCATTATTCCCAGTGAAGTCGCAGTGAGGTCGTTACAATTTACCCAGACACATATAAATGCAATATGATGCAATAAGGTATCTGGCACTCCAACTTGGCACCTTTGTAACACCAGCAGTTCTTATTGCTCGGAGGAGCTCCGCGCAATGGCCAGGGCTCCGACAACAGCATTGCGGTGCTCACTTCATCCGGGAGGTTTTGCTGTGCCTACGGCGATGGGACTGGCTCAACTGTTCACATCTGACTGTCTATTTCAAAATATACCAGGAGCTTCAAAGACCCTACAAAAAGTAGGTCCAGTCATTTTTTTCGAGAAGGTAAGCATATGCCTAATCAGATGTATCAATACAAAACTGATCATGACTGGAGAACTCCGTGCCAGTTTAATCTATGTAGTATGGCGGACAAGCACTTAGAACATCCAAATAACATGTTTTCAGTGTTCTGCATGTATCACTAAGAACATAGTGCTTGGTGTTCTGTGTGTAAGTCTTATGCTCATAAAAGGTCTCTTGCCAAAATCTGTTTCAGAGATCTCTGCACAAACTCTTTATATACGGGGTCTCTGTACAAAATCTCTATAAGAGGTCTCCGTGGCAAGATCTGAGCACAAGCTCTCTAAAAAAAACCTCCCTGCCAAGATCTCTGCACAAGATCTCCTTGAGTAGCAAAATGAGCACCACGCTACAACGAGAGCTACCGAGAGGCTTGTCGCAGCGCGCCACAACAGCGAGAGCGATCTGAGTGGCCCAAAGTGACGAGAGGGTTGCGCGAGCGATCCCAAAATTCGCACTGCACCACAAGAAGAGCGATCTGAGAGGCCCCAAAGTGACGAGAGGGTTCGCGAGAGGTCTACGGGAAAACGTTTTGTGCGAGACTTTTGTCAAAAAAGGAAGATGAAGGAGCTGGAGTGCTGTAAGGGTCACCAAATTTGCCGGACACGGATGAGACCACCTCGAATGAACACTCGGCCTTAACCCCTACCCTAAGAACCCCAGGTGTGGCCACACTGAGAAAAAACACCTGGCCATCGCCTCTTCGACGTAGGCACGTTCCAAACGCCTGAGGTGTGCGGAGGAGAGGCGCTGCAGCTGCTTCTGCATGTGCTTCAGCGACTGTTCCTGGAGACGTGGAAGCGAGGTAAAACAAGTGAAATATGATGGGTTCAGATGGGAAAAAGGTGAAGAACATGGCGTTGCTCTTCATGAAGAGTATGGCAGTATTGTTTTAGTCGGATTTCATCATTAAAGGTTTGCTGCTAGGTAAAACCTAGTGGTTTCAAGCAGAAAAAAAATATGATTTCACCATGAAAGAATGCAAAAAGTATGGATTTGACCATCCAAAATGTTTTTTTTTGAACACTCCCATCCCAGCAGTAAACTATGGTACCACGTGGGGATTTCATGGGATTCACCCGCTGGGCCTGGGGGTTAAGCATCAGAAACATGGGGGTATCATTGTCAATTTGCCAATGTTGAAACGGGGAGACTGGTTCCAAGATTTTAGAACATACCCCTATGTTTGGCACCCAAAAAGAATATATCTAGATTCTAGATGTATCCAATATTATACCAACATTTTGTGTGGGAATATTTGCCACTAGGGATCTAATTAATGCACATGACCGCGTCGCGTGACCTATTGTTAGATGAATTGCTATGATTCTTTGAATGGGTCGTCAACACATGATGGAAACATTGGACTATGGATGACATAGTATGACGCACCCTCTACGGTTGCTGGTCTAGACCCCCCTCGAAACGTATGCCTGCAGCACCTTTTCTACGCCGCCCTCCTCCAAATGCAGCTGGTTCCAGAGTTGTTGGGCGATGGGCGGCGGCTCCTGGAGGGTGGTAAACCCTGGCCGCCATAAACCATCCCCGAATATTATCACTAGACGACGGATGGCCCGAGAGCGTAGAGGAGCAGCTTTTACACACAGACACGTTTACACACAGACACGTTTACATACAGACGCTTTTGCACACAGACGCTTTTGCACACAGACGCTTTTGCACACAGACACGTTTACACACAGACGCTTTTACACACAGACGCTTTTACACACAGAAGTTTTTGCACACAGAAGCTTTTACACACAGAACACTTTGACAAACAGAGACGTTTACACACAAAAGCTTGTACACACAGAACACTTTTACACACAAACGCTTTGACACACAGACGCGTTTACACACAGACACGTTTACACACAGAAGCTTTTGCACACAGAAGCCTCTACACACAGGGTTATGGCGGAGGTTGTAAATTTGAAATTTTACCTCAGTTTTTGACGATCGAACCTCATTTCGTGCGAAAGGGTTGCCGCGGAGGTTGTAAAATCGCAATTTTACCTCAGTTTTTGACGATCGAACCTCATTTCGTTCGAAAGGGTTGCGTTTCGTGTCGTTGGCACTGCCCCACGCCTTCAAGAGAGAAATAGAAAAGAAGAAAGCAAGAGGGCAAGAGAGAATGCGAAGATGTGAAGATGAGAAGATGAGACGATGAGAAGATGTGAAGATATGAGGATGTGAGGGTGCGAAGATGTGAAGATGAGAAGATGTGAAGATGTGAAGATGTGAAGATGTGAGGATGTGAAGATGTGAGGATGTGAAGATGTGAAGATGTGAAAATGAGAAGCTATGAAGACGAGAAGATGTGAAGATGAGAAGATGTGAAGATGAGAAGATGTGAAGATGTGAGGATGTGAAGATGTGAGGATGTGAAGATGTGAAGATGTGAAGATGAACAGATGTGAAGATGATAAGATGTGAAGTGAAGATGCGAAGATGAAAAGATGTGAAGATGAGAGGATGTGAAGATGTGAGGATGTGAAGATGTGAAGATGTGAGGATGGGAAGATGAGCAGATGTGAAGATGAGAAGATGTGAAGTGAAGATGTGAAGATGTGAAAATGTTTGACAGACCCCCACTATTAGAAGAACCCTGCGCTCAAACGCTCTCGGGAATAAAATATCATAAATGGTGTGTATATAATATTATAAATTTATCACTATATAATCCTCAAATGGTAGTTGTTTATGTCACTGAATTCACAAAACTATTTTTGTAAGATCTTACTTTTTCCATCTTTTCGGGGCCAACAAAAACAATCACCCCACCAACAGGTCGACCGTATCGGCCCATCTCCAGAAGTGTATCTGAAAGTATTCCCATATGAAATTTCCATAATTGCAGGGTCATTTTGGGGACATTTAAGTATATAAATTATATAAATATATAATATATCCGTTACATGAAGCAAAAGGGATTTATTGACCAAGAGATTGCGATGCCATGGAAAATCGGTGGCGCCATGAAGGGTGGCATCCAAGTCTCCCAGTGATCTCTCTCTCCGAATTTTCCAGTAAGGCTCGCCAGCGGCTGGTTGGTTGTTAAGAAGCCCTCTTCCAATATCGCAGTTTGACCCCTCAGGTGTCCATATGGGCAAAGGATTCTAGCAAAATACAAACTACTAACAGAAAATGTTGTTTCTTCTTCAATAGTTATTTCAGAAATTTCATTTTACATTCTACGCCAAGGGTCAACCTTAAGTCACTCAGAAAGGATGTCAATCTTTGTCCCAGTTCCTGTCGAAAGTCGCTGAGCAACAGCTCGACCTGGCAATGACCAAGGTATCGGGGCGGAATCCATGGGAAAGCGCCCCAGGAAAGCACCAATATTTCACATTTAGCCACCGAAATTTCAGAACTTCATCCATTTTTACCTTCAGATCTTGGACTTTAGATGACTTTACTAAAATCTACAATGTCACATATCGATGGGGTCATGACAT